ACAGCCCAAACGGCTCCATCAAACAACGCCCCAGTCAACAACTCGTCAGACAGGTCCGTGCTGCTGCTCCTCTTTCTGTTGCTGCTGCTGCTGTTCTTCCTGCCATTGCTGCTGCTGATGCTGCTGCTGCAGGCGTTGCAGCTGCAGCAGACAGTCTCGGCCCCACTTGCTGCACCGTGCAGTAGCTGTGAATGTTGCTGTTGCCGCTGCTGCTTGCTGCTGCTGGGTTTCATATGCATGGTTCGTGATGCACTGCTGCTGCTGCTGCTGCTGCTGCTGCTGCTGCTGCTGCTGCTGCTGCTGCTGTTTGCTGCAGCTGTCTCTAGGGTCTCCTGGCATCAGCTCGCTGCAGTCTTCTTTGGCCGTCAACTCTGTTATTGAAGACTGCCACGACATACGGCTCACAGCAACCGCGCTGCTGGCAGAACTAGAAGTGAGGGTTTAGGGTTTAGGGTTTAGGGTTTAGGGTTTAGAGAAAGGGCTTCAGAGGGGTTTAGAGTGTAGACTGTAGGGTTTGGAGGGCGGAGTGCAGGTAGAATAGGGGGGAGGGGGGGGGTAGAGGAGCTGATGATTCAAGGTTTTTTTTAGGGTTTAGGGTTTAGGGTTTAGGGTTTAGGGTTTAGAGTTGGGTTTAGGGTTTGTATTGCTCCAAGGGATGAGTTCTTCAGCTGTACGTGCTGCTGTGCTGCTGCTATGCTGCTGCTGTGCTGCTGCTGTGCTGCTGCTGTGCTGCTGCTGTGCTGCTGCTGTGCTGCTGCTCGTACTTTGTTGGTGCTGCAGGAGTGCCCAGCGAGCCACGTTGCAGCACGGGGCCGTTTGCAGCAGCAGCTGCAGCACACGCTGCAGCAGGCTGCTGAGTTGCTGCTGCTGCGGCACTGCTCCTCTACCCTTGCGCCTCCTATGCCTTACCTTCTGGACTTCTGGGCCCCCGCTTGCTGCTCGTCCCCATCAGAATATGTGTTCAGGCTGCGTCAGCACTACCTGCGGCAGCAGCAGCAGCAGCAGCAGCAGCTGCTGCAGCTGCAGCAGCAGCAGGAGCAGCAGCAAGAGGAAGAGGGCTTCATGGGAGTGTTACCTTCAGACATGAACCGCTTGGTTGCTGATGGGCGCTGCAGCAGCAGATGGATGCTGCAGAATGTCTGCTGCAGCAGCAAAGGCATGAGGCTGCTGCTGGGGCTGCTGCCGCTGCTGAGCGACCCCTGCGCCTCGTTGCTGCTGCAGACGTTGCTGCTGTGTTCAGAGACATTGGAGTGTGTCTTGGGTGAAGCAGATAGCATCATTGCAGCAGCAGCAGCAGCAGCAGGAGCAGCAGCAGCAGCAGCAGCAACAGCAGCAGCAGCAGGAGCAGCAGCAGCAAGCGAGCCTAGTGTGCGTTTGTTCGAGGAGGTATTGAACTCTACAGGGATATCAGCAGCAGCAACAGCAGCACTATCAAAAGACAGTTTGCTGCATGCGCTGCTGCATGCATCTTCGGGGCTGGAAAGGGGGCCCCTTGCTGCTTACTTGCTGCTGGGTACGCTGCGCGTATTCAGAGCTTCGGGGCCCTCACGAACGGCTGTGCTCTGCAGCTTCTTAGATATATTGGGCTGCAGGGGGGGCCCCGCTGACTTGACTCGCATAGCTAAACATATGGTACAGACACACACACTCCACCGCCTGCTGCTGCTGCTGCTGCTGCTGCTGCTAATGCTAATGCTGCTAATGCTGCTGCTGCTGCTAATGCTGCTGCTGCTGCTGCTTATTCTGCTGCTGCTGCTGCTGCTGCTAATACTGCTGCTGCTGCTGGAGTTGGTGGTGGTAGTGCTGGCGCTGTTGGGTGTGGTTGGAGTGGTGCTGCTGCTGTTGCTGGTGGGGCTGCTGCTGCTGTTGGTAGTGGCTGTGTTGCTCCTGCTGCTGTCTGCGTTGTTGTTGCTTCTGTTGCCACTGCTGCTGCTGCTGCTTATGCTGCTGCTGCTGCTGCTGCTGCCGCTGCGCTGCATTATTTTGTGGGCTCTTCTGGGCTGGGGGTGGGCGCGTTGGACTGCTGTGTATTTTGCTGCTGCTGCTGCTGCTGCTGCTGTTGCTGCTGCAGACGGGAGCTTGCTTCCTTTCGTTGCTGATGCTGCATCTTCCTCGTGCTGAGGGGACGGCGAATATAAGTCAAACGTGAGTTGAGGGTTTGGAGGGTTTTGCTGCTGCTGCTGCTCTGTGGTTTATAACTTCCTGGGGAACCCATACAATTTGCTGCTGCTGCTGCTGCTGCTGCAGCAGCTGCGGCCTTTGATTCGCAGCCTCTTGCAGCAAGCAAGACACTGCCCTGCATGGGCAGCAACGATAACANGCTGCGGCCTTTGATTCGCAGCCTCTTGCAGCAAGCAAGACACTGCCCTGCATGGGCAGCAACGATAACAACACAAGCCATGTGAGTTTGTTTATTTTTTTTTTGTTTGTCTCCTTTTCTCTTCTCCCTTTTGTCTCTGTTTTTTTCTTTTTCTCTCTTTTCTCTCTCCTGCTGCAGCTGTCTTTTTCGTGGTGCTTGCTGCTGTCTCCTTTTGCTGCTCTTGCTGCAGCAGCGAGCAGCAGCTGATTGCGTTGCTGTGTGTGTGTCTTCATTCCTGCATTTGTTACGTTTATATTTTTTTTTTTTTTTTCTCTGTCTGCGTCTCTTTTTCCTTGTCTTTGTGTTTGTCTCTGTGTCTTTGTCTCCACACTGTCTCTTTTCTTCTGTCTTTGTTTATTTTCCTTTTTTCTTATTCTCTTTCTGCCCTGTTTTTTTTTCTTTGTTTGTCTGTGTCTCTCTTTCTCTGTCTCCCTCGCCGCTTCTGTCTCTTTATCTGTCTCTCTTTTTTCTTTTTTGTCTCTGTCTCTCTCTTATTTTTTATTTGTTTTTTTCTCTTTCTTCTGTCTCCTCTGCAGGAGCTCTTTGGGGGAGGCTTCAGCTCGGGCCTTCCTGGCTTCTCTCGTGGCTGCCACGGAGTTTTAGCTGCTGCTGCTGCTGCTGCTGCTGCTGCACTGCAGCAGGGGCTGCAGCAGCACCCGCACTGCAGCAGGGGTTTTTGTTGCAGCTGGCAGCAGCAGTTGGTTAGAAACGCTGCTGCTGCTGCTGCTGCTACCCTGTGTTTATGTTTGCCTCGTGAGAGAGGAGAAACGAGACAATAGAGGGGAGAGAAACACAGACACAGTGCGGTGTCTGTACACCGCAGCAGACAGGGGAGACAGCTCCTCAAGCCTGTTTAATGTTTATTGTCTCCTTCCTGCTGCTGCAAATATAAATTTATCTTCGATTCAAAACAATGCCACTTTTGCTGCTGCAGCAGCAACGCTGCTGCTGCTGCTGCTGCTGCGCCCGAAGGACAGACAGACAGACACAAAGGAGACAGCAACAACACCAGAGACA